CCAAAATGGTGCATATTTGATTTAATAAAGTTTATTATAAATATTAAAAAATATGATTTGAAGTTTCACTACAAATACGAAAAGACTTTTTAGACTACCCAATATTATGTAATGGGATTTTGTAACTGGGATGATCAAGTTTGGAGGCTCTAGATAAGCCATGAAAGAAAAAAGTTCCGGCAGTTATCTGCAAATGCCTCATGATTGTTCATTTTCATCATGGGAATCGAAAAACTGATCAGCTTAGGCATATATATAGGATAAAGCCATAAACATATGGGTATATGCTTGATAGCAACCGACTTGGAGGCACCATGACCACAAGGCGAAAATAAGTATTTTTAGGCAAAAGCCAAATCATTATTTTTTTTTTATGCCGTACGACAAGAAATACATTAAGTTTATTGATTATCACTCAATGTTTATTTCGCTAAGCATACTTGATCAGCATTCAAAGTCTTCGCTGTACAATGTATAGATGCACAGTAATAAATGTATACCATATTGACAAGTCAAACATTTTCAATTACAGGGTATGACTATATTTGCAATATACGTATATAATTCACAAATTTTGAAAAATTGAAATGGGTACTCGGATTTTACTTATAAAATATAAATTTTTATATATGTATATGTATTAAATGTGTATGTATGTATATACGTATAGTAGCTTAAGTTCATTAACTTATGAATTTAATAATAGTGCATACAACAATCTCATTCATATTTCTGACAGGGTATAAAGAGCTTTTCATTTGTTGTTTTTTTTTTTTTTTTCATTTTCATTTTCTTTGTAGAAAACAGCTGCCCCAAGAAGCAAGCCATTGGCATTGTGAGAGAGCGTGGAAGAAGCAAAGTCGCAGCGGCATTAAATTAATGTTGCCCCCGGCTCCTGCTCCACCCACTTGGCCGCATTGGCGACTATAGCATCGCTGCTCCGGCCACTGCTCGGGGGCAGCGATTCGAGCAGTTGGTGGCTGCTTTCGCTGGCGGGCAGACGCGCTTCACACACGAGCACGAGTGTGTGCCGACCAGCTGATCGCACAGAATCGAGAGAGAGGGCAACACTGAGAGCGGGAAGGCACAACGAGCGAATCGGCCGTGAGAGAGAGCGCCGCGTGCGTTGGAGCGAGACGGACAATTCGTTCTCAGTGCTAAAAATATTTGTTTCTTTTTTTTTTTTTTTTGCGCGAATGTGTGTGAGTGTGTACGGTTTTTTTTTTCTTGTTACACAAATTGAATGAAACTGTGTTTGAAGGTGCATTCAAATTTGTAGTGCAGTGTTGTTGTTGTTGTTGTCGAAAGTGGCACACCTAAATGTCACGGGAAGGCAAGCAGCAGCAGCAGGTAGCGGCAGTGAATGCCTACTAAAAATATACCCCACATACTAAGAGCGCAGAGATGAAAGCATCCAAGAACGCGGCGCGTGGGTAGGAGCAAGAAAAAAACAACACAAAGAAGAAACGCCTTTTATTTCATGCACACAGACAAAGAGAGGCGGCAGTTAATACATATACAGAAGGCATACATACAATATAGTATAACTGTTAGCATAGCTGAGATAAACAATAAATTGGCAGCCAGCCAGCCGTAGGGCGGCCAGGAAAAGCGCTTGCGACGTGCTCTCTGGCTGGCGCGTCGCGCAACGGACAGCAAACAGGTGGAATCGTCAACAAAGGCAGCCAGCTGCCAGCGCTGCCTCAGCCAAGAGCAATGTCAAAGCAGCTGCACCAGCAGCTGCAGCAACAGGAACAACTGAATACAGACTCCACGTCCGACTACGAGGAGCAGCAGGAGCTGGACCAGCAGGCGGAGCAGGATGAGTATGACCCGCTGTCCAATCTGCTGCGCCTGCAGCTGCGCAAGCCCAGCCACTGGAACTGGGAGCTGAGCACCTCGCGCAGCTGCAGCAACATAGCACTGCCCCGCATACTGCTCTACGATCACACGGGCGCCCTGCTGGTGAACGCGGATGGGCACAGCGAGCAGACGTACCGGCCCAGCAGCGCGCAGGACTGCAGGCGCAAGCGGGCCTCGAGCAGCCTCAGCAGGAGCCTGCAGCAGGCGCGACTCGCCGGCAGGCTGAATGGCCTCAGCATTGGCGAGGCGACGCCGAGCGAGACGCACTCGACCCTCCGCTCGCCCACGAGGCAGCAGCTGACCGGCAGCTGCATTGAGTTCAGCACCCACGAGCTGCCCGACTGGCAGCCGCTTGAGGTGGGCAGCTCGCGACGCTCGAGCTCGCTGCGCGGCGTGCGGCTGGCGGTGGAGGAGGAGCGGCAGGCCCAGCCGCAGCGCACACAGGAATCGGCGTACCCCACGCCGCCGTCCACCTCGACGCTAACCACTACGGCGAACTCCTCCTCGTCCGGTCCGCGGGAGAAGCGTCGCTACCGACGCTCGCATAGCTCCGGCCAGCACTCGATACTGGAGCGGTTCAGCATGACGCGCGGGCGGCACTCATCGCCCGAGTATGTCCAGGAGCAGGAGCTGGAGCACAGGCCGCGCTATTACCTCTGCAGCAGCAAGGCGGGCACCCTCGTCATCCAGGAGGACAGCTTCAGTCGCGTGCGGCAGCGCCGCCGCCGGCAACGGCACTCCTCCGCCGAGAACGTGCTGTCACCTCAGGGCAAGAGCCCCGCGGATAGCGACGTGCAGGTCACGGCGCACAAGCGTCAACAGTCGCAGCTGCGCTGCCGGCAGGCGCCACCAGTATCATCCGACGAGGACGCCGACGCCGACGCCCACAAGCCATTGGCGAGGCACTCGCGTGGCAGGCGTGGCAAGCGCGCTTGCGGCAAGGATTCGCCGGCGCCAGGTGAGCACTGTTTGGCGCTAGACCTGTCTGTTCTCTGAACAGCTCAACTATTTCCTCTCTCTCTCTCTCTCTTGTTTCCCAGAGCTCATCACGGTCGATCCAGGCAACTGCATCTATAGAGCGGAGCCCTGCGCGACGCAGCGCTGACTCGCGGACGGGATATACAGACACTTATGCTCACGTGAGCGTCGAGACAACTTACTGTTACTTATATATATACATATATATGCGCCACCTCCTGCTTTGTTTTGGTCTTGAAAGCCAACTCTATGTAAATTAATGCAAATAAAAAGAATAGCACACACAGTGAATGGCAAAGCTGCGTATGATCCACGGGCATATCGAAATACCATTACGTATACGCCATGTGCACGTTTAGCGATCTGAATGAACAAAGCAACTATCGAGGCAGTTGGATATGGATGGACATGGCCTGGCCTAATGCTATATAAACAGTTTAACTATCAAGACTTAGGCTTACCTGTTGTACCTGTGTTAGAGCGTTAAAATGAAAAACACTCCACATTTGCCGAATTCAAGATCTTAACTGAACTCTTTATTGCTTAAAATCCTAGTTCTTATATACCTAACAGAGACTCTTAAAACTACTTCCAGTCACTGGAAGGGTGCATTTTCTCACACAAACAAGTGCCCAGATGTTTACTTAAGTGTCCCTTTTT